CCCTCCCTCTCTCCCTCCCTCCCTCCCTGCTTCCTCCCTCCCTTCCTCTGCCATTTCCATGACTGTTCTAGGAACAGCAAGCCATCAGCATGGAAGAAAATACTGGAAGATGATGAGTCCTACCTATCCCTTGGTAATATTATCTTTCATCTTATTCTTAGTTCCTTGCTTATGTCTTTCATTTCCAAAACAAACAAACAAAAAAGGCTTAAGAGGTGTGAGTGGCCATCACATTTTCTAAAGATCCATCCGACCTGGGGGTTCTGCACAGTCAGCTCACACTGTCCGGTGGGGGCAAGAGCACTCCAGCAAGAAGTGCGCATAAGACACAGAGCTTCCTGTCCTGGGTCTCAGTGTGGGTTCTCTGTGAGGCTGCACACTCCCAAAGGTGCTGCCGATTAGCAGGCTCTGTGCGCGGCCTGGGCCTGGGCCTCGCGCTGAGCCGCACTCCTATGGAGGACGGACTGCTCAGCAGGGGCCTGGGTGCTCAGGGCCCTTCTCAGCTCCTCTGCCTCCGTCAGCCGAGTCAGACTCTCGCCCAGAACGCGGAGTCGGGAAGTTTGTCTCCTCAGATCACTATATTGTGTAACGTAAGCACCAACCTAAAACCCGCCTGAGTGTTTTATTTGAAGACATATAGGGATGATTCAGCGGTCTATTCCTCCAAGGTAAATTAAGTTCCTGCTCTTGTAGTTTCATTTGAATAACACCTTGTAAACTAAGGGCTGGATGCACCTTCTGGAAATGGAGCAGAGGCGGGGGAGTAAGCCTTTTCCCTGAGGAACGCCAGCGGATTAGTCACTCCATAAAATGCAAGCGGCTTTTATTCCAGAGAAATGCCCTGCACCTCTGCCCTGCGCTGGTGCAGGGAGTGCTTTCCAAAGCACTGTGAGGGAGGAGGGCTCGCGAGGTGGCACGACTGGGGGCAAAGCACCCCATGCTGCCACGAGACCGTGACCCTGACCAGAGGGGTCTGCGTTTCTTAAACCACATGTACAGTGTGTTAGGAATTTGGGGTGCACAGCCTCAGCCCAAAGGCCAGGTTGAGCAGTAGACAACCGCAGTCCTATCTCAGCCCCTGAGTGACTGCGACTTCCCAGAGACCCCTTTCCGGTTCTGTGTTTTCACATCTGCGCGGTCTTCCCTGAGGCTGCAGAACTCTTGGACGGTGTGGTCAGTGTTTCCAGAGGCCCAAATGAATGAAGCAAAGTAAGATGAAAAATGGTTTCTAAATTTTTTTTCATATTTTTGTGAACTATTCTATTTCTTACGGCCCCATTTTTCTTAGTAAAAGTTATGTCCCAGCCTTTTCTGGGTCTAAATGCACTACACTGGATAGAAGATGCATCCCAGAAGTAAGGTATAACTTAAAAAGCGGACGCTGTTCTGACATCTGGCTCCACAATTCTTTGACATGCTATGCATAGGCGACTTCCACTTTAAAACTGTATAACCCTTCAGTCTCTCAAATGAATGCATTCATTGTAAAATATCTAATTTAAATTTCTAATCCAAAATTCAGCAACTAGTTGAACTACTGTGTATTTACTATAGCATTTTAAAAATTAAGTCTTATTTTCACTTCCTCATAGTTTGTTAGAGCACAAAATCCTAGAGATGGAGGGGAAGCACAAGGAGGAGCTGGACACGCTGAAGGCGGAGCGGGAGAGCCTGCAAGGCCTGGTCTCGCGCCAGTCACACGTCATCCAGGAGCTGGAGAAGCAGCTGAGCAAGGCCACCAGCAACAGCAGCCTGCTGCAGAAGCAGCAGCTGGAGCTCATGGACGCTGTGCACAGACTCGTCAGCCTCTGCTCCCAGGAAGGCGGTGAGCGCCCCCTCGCTCTGACCGGGTCTGTGTCTTAGTTCCTAGAGCAAGCCGAGGGGCAGGGCCAGCGCGCTGAGCTCGTCACAGCCATGAGCTGGCTGTGGCTATGCGTAACCGGTAAGAGTGCTCTAAGGGGGCGTGTTTGGGTGTGACGTAGGCCAAGGAGGCTGTGACATTAGTCCTGACTTATCAACGTCATTGGATTAAGGGACACCTGGCAGATCCATACAGCGCGTCCCTAGGGCCGCCCGCTCCGTTGGGGAGGCACAGCCCTGGGTTCTGCATTGCCACTCGCCAGCTCTGTTCCTACCTGCACCGTTCCCTGCTCTGCCTCCCGGCCCTAGGAAACAAGCACCCTTGCTCTGCAGGGCCTCTGCCTCAGCCATCCGACCATTGATGGATTCTCCGAAAGCATGAGCCGGATTAAACCTGCTCTCCTTAAGCTTGGGTGTCGGCCACTTGAGCTGGGGACAGGACGGCTGAGCAGGGCAGCAGGGTCAGAGGGGAGCCAGCCGGGCCTCACATGGCACCAGGGTCCGGGCTCCACCACCGTTCAGGCGCCCGCCGCAGCTCACTTGAGCGCTCTGCCTGGCCCTGCTTAGCCCGCGAAGCCAACCTGCCGGGCCACAGCGCCCTGCTTCCTTGGGCCAGTTGCTGGGTAAAAACAGCCAGTGAATTTATTCTCAGATGCGTCTGTGAGGTTTGGTTCACAAACTTATGCTCCTAACTTTCCAGAGAATGTGTTCATGAGTTTGTGAACCCACAACATCTCTCGGAGGTTCCTATTTTTTTTTCTTATACTTGTGATTTTTATAATCTGAGATAAACCTATTTCACTGTCTTCTTGAGTAAATGTTTGATGTCACAATGTCAGGCCTCTGACTGTAGGGAAGAAATCAGCCAGTGCCCAAGCATAGCTCGGAGAACTGGGGCAGTTCTGCAGCGGCTGCCATTTCCCGCCTCACTGAGTGGCTCAGCCTTGCTTGCGGAAGACAGGCCTCGCAGCTCCTGGGAGTGAGGACTGAGAAAGCGCGGTTGGTACCAGAAATGTGATCGCTCGTCTTCTACTGTTCAGGGAAAAATTAACCGAGGTAGCCAGATTTATTGGGGCTGTTTTCACAGTGTTGGGAATTACAAATTTTTCCATCACTAGAGTCTGGAGCCACGTAGGCAGGTGCGAGAACTACCACCAGCTTCTGTGTCCTAGGGCACCTCTGGCAGCCGACCACCCCACCGTGCTGGAGGAGGCCCCGTGCACACTGCCTGCATCTAGTGCAGCGCAGCAGGGCTCTCTTCAGTGCAGCTCTCTCTGGCACTGAGGGGTGATGAGGGAGACAGCACCGCTTACCCCAAACCACAGTGCCACCCTGAGCTGCCACCGGTGACCACCTGCGGAGCAGCCCAGTGCGCACGGTGCCCACCTGAGGCCCCTTGGGTGTGCCTGGACGGGCATGTGGGCTGCGTGAGGACCTGGTCCTGGTCGTGCTTCCCGGTGTAGACGGAGCATGAAGCTAACTCCACCCCCTGCTGTGTGAAGGACATGCCCCTTTTCTCGGTGGCACCCCATTACTCGAGCTGCATCCCCCTGGGCAACTAAGCAGGCCCATCTGTGTGCTCAGTGCAGTGACATTTCCAAACACTGAGCCCCGGGCTCCCTTTGTGTGTTCTCGGCAATGTGACTGGGAAGGGAAAAACCTGCTCATCAGACGGAGGCTGCCAAGAGCGAGTCGGAGTCCACTGGAGGGACATCTGGGTAGGGCTTTGCCAGAGAATTTTAATAGAGCTCATGAGGATTTAGAAGTTAAGTATGAATATGAGGCATATCCATCCTCACATGGAGACAAACACTTGGGGCAAGACTGAAGCGCACTTTCTCGTCATCCAGACTCAGCCCATCGGGCTGTGCAGAGGTGTGGCGCCCTGCAGGTTCCCACAGAGCTCGGATGTCTCCGGCTCACCCGAGTTTGTCTTCCTCTTCGACTGTGACTCTACTAAATGTGTCTGTGCACTGTGACCACCACTAGGCACTGGGCGCCACTTTGGAGTCCTGCCTGGGGACAGACCAGGACATCTTCATTGATGGAACAGTTACCATGTCAACTGTGGAGCTGCTATCCTTCCTGCCCACTGGGGTGGGGTGGGGAGAGTGACTGTGTCTACACTGTGACATAGCAGATCCCAAAACGGTGATAGTAATGACAACAGAAGTAGTAACAGGAATAATAGAGACTTAAACTGTGTAATCCCCCAGGCCTGTGAATAACTGCTTTCCCTTTAATGATTCAATCTAAGACAAACTCTTCACTAAGCTCCCGATCCGTGGCCTTCAGGGTGCAGCCTGGTTCCCACTAGGTGCTGTGCACGCACAGGGATTGTACTGGACTGGCTAATCTCTCTTTCTTCAATTTCTGTTATGAATTCAGACATAATAAATACTTAGTTGTTTTAGGCTTCAGACACAAGCTTGGATGTGGTTCTCAATAAGGTTTCTGAGAAAAGACGAATTCTGAGCCTAGCTCTGCTCTCAGCACAGCCGTAGTCTCTATGGCTTTAAAATTAAAATGGCTAACAGCACAATAGTAGATTCAATATCAGTTACTAAAGTTAACTCTTATTTCATTCTAATTCTAAGACAGAGAAACAATTCTTTATTCTCTAACCAAAACTTTAACATACAGCTTTATTATTTATCAAAGGATTGCATGTGTTTACTTTTAAGTTCACGTATATGGAAATATTCCAAAATCCACACATCGTAATAAACGCATCAGGTTATCTAAAAAAATACCTTTAAAAATTGCTGCTTGAGGCTGGGTCTGCTGCAGTTTGACCCAGGGACCCTGGAGGGAGCCCGACTAGGAAGCTCCCAACCCCGGGAGGCCACCTTGTGAGTTCTGTCACTGGCTGCAAATTTAACCTCCACTTCCCTTTTGAAGTCAGGAAAGCAGTCTCCTCTGCTCCCTTGTGAAGAAGGAAATCAGGTGCACAGGGTAAGGATACAGAACACAATGTGGGGACAGCGGCCCCCTAACCTTCAGCTGTCCTTTCCAGTGGACGATGAGCCAGGGAAACACCGGTTTGACAGGGCTCTGTAGGAACGAAACTGCTTTTTCAGAAATGAGAACAAAACCGTAAATGACTGGCTTCCTAGTCATCCAGGCAGCTCCTTCTAGCCTCAGTTTTCTAGTCTCTAAAATGGGACTGTAATAATGACCTCATGGACTTGCGACACACTGTAAATTCACCTGACTTTTGCATAGCTCAGAATCGCAAAAGTGAATTTGAAGAGTTCTCACCAGCAAGACACAAGAAGTGTGGGCAAGGGATGGCTCCCTCTGGAGGTCAGCACTGCCCTTGGTGGCGGGCATTGAAAGGGCACCTGTGCTGCTAAACATTTACATTTGACCTTCTTCGGTAAAAGCAGAAGAAAGAGTGAGGGACCAGGAATAAATGAGTCACCTAGCTGGTCAGAACAACCCTGTACAAGTTAAGTGACGCGTGTGACACGCAGAGCAGCCATGCCCGCTCCTAAGAGTGCTCCCAGGACGGTGCTCCTGCCCCTCGTGTGCCTCCAAAGTGCTCAGTCCACTGAGGACAGATCCCGGACATGCTGGGACTGGGCCGCACGGGGCCACGTTCCTGGGCCCCGAGCTGCTGTCTCTCTCTGCAGATAGCTGAGCTTCCGGGCACTCTTGCTCCTAAGCCAGCTGTTAGCACCCGGCAGGGCTAAGGCGATGCAGCTGAGACATGTATTTTCTGAGGAGACGCACCAGCCTTCCTTCCCTCTGCGTGCTCCAGACAGGCAGCATGCCGCCTCAGGCACCTGGCCACGTTGCTCCCAATTGCATTCATTTGGTTTGACTTCAGGATAATGCATTTATTTTCTTTCTTTTTTCCTTGTGGCTGGCTCAGCCCACCCTGGGGGTGGGGCTGGCACAGCATGTGGTTCCAGGATCATTCCCTGCTCACTTGCCTAAGCTTGCCTAAGCAGGCACTTAGACCGCTGGGCCATCTCGTTGGCCCTGGGCAGTGCATTCATTTTCATACCACTTAGGTCTGCAAACACTTGGCCACCTTTGTTCTCAGAAACGGTGCTCTCTAAGTGCTCTGTCCTCAGCACAATCACCATGGCTAAGCTGAGCTGATTGCTTTGCGGATTTGGCAATTCTGAGTTGTGCTGGAACTGAGTAGTTTACACTGAGGATGGGAGGGAAGTTGGGGACAGTGCAAGGGAGGACAGTGAAGGACTGGGACTGCCCATCCCTGGTCAGCTGTGTACACTGGGGGTCGGGACATCACACACTTACAGATCACTTGCAGCAGACATCGTGTTACATGGAGGAAAGGAGGCAGGAGGGAGGGAGAGAAGGGAGGGAGGGAGGAGGGAAAGAGGGAGGGAGAGATGGAGGAGGAAAGAAGGAGAAGGGAGGGAGGAAGGAGAGAGGTGGGACAGAGGGAGGAAGGAGGGAGGGAGGGGAAAAGGAGGGAGGGATTCGGGGCTCGGCTCTGCCATGGGAGGAGCAGAGGGATCGGCTGGCCGCTGCTCCTGCAGCACCAGATCATGATTGGTGATTTCCCCACTCATTCAAGAATGTCTCTACAACAACTGTTCTGTTTCAACTTCTCTCCTGAGG